ACTAAACTGAAATTCTTCCTCAAGAGGTAATTAAATTGCACTCAACTCCGCAGAGGAAGACATAAGATTACTCAGACCTAACTATTATCTTAAATGTCCATGTCACCATTAAACAAAACAGAAGCTCTAAAAGAATTCGAAAGGAATACCCTGGCAAACCTTGTCAAATATAACTGAGCAACAAACTTGCATTTGAGAAGCTGAAACTTAACTCTAAAGACAGGGTTCCTCCACTCACATCATCAGGATACAGAGTCCTTGCAGATGCGTTCACTAAGGTACTATCAGGATACTCTGTCAGGAACAGACCTGATGACTTGAACTATCTTCTTTTCAGGGTAACCATTTTCTGCAAATTACTCTCTTCACTCAGTATGCTCTTCAAGCAGCTAAAGGCAACCGGGTTCCATATACTGGGTCTGAAGTAATTAAGCACAGTTGTATCACTTCACTCCCGCACCGCATACACAAAAGCTATTAGAGGATTGCATTTGCCATTTTGATACGCTACCGATATGTGCATAAGCCCCTCGTGAAAAACGAAGGCATTAAGAACTACCTCGAAACACAAAAGAACTGAATAGCAGAAAACAGACAAATGTTTCCTTACAGCACCAAGAGCAAAATTACTTCCAGAACAAAGACTTTCCTGAATACCAGTACATAGTAACAAGTGACAAGATGTAGAACAGCTATTTTCATAATTACTGATAACGTTAGGGGTAAAAAAAAAAAAAAGCAAGTATCACAAATACTTTACATGCAATTATTTGTCCTTTTAATCTTAAGAAGCCTTAAAGGGCACTGCGAAACAATAACCACAGAAATCTGTACTTAGCATCACAACACAACAGAAAGAGATACTACTCCTATACTGCTCTATATTCTGAAAAGACATTTTAAGCCATTCTATATTTCTCCACAGCAAGCAAAACTTATTTTGAAGAAATAAACTCATTGGCTTTAAAACAAATCTGACTTAATCCATGCCTAATTAAAATACTTCTCTGTTCAAAGCATCATTAAATACCTAATATTTTAACCTAGAATTAACGTAAATAAGCAACATTATTTCATAGTCCAAAGAGGAACATGTGGTGTGCAAAGATGAGACATCATCCAACCACTTGAGACATCTCTTGACCCAAGGGCCTTCTCTGATGAACAGCACCAACGTCTTGGACTAAACCCTCCAAAGGCTTGAGTTACAGCTCAGCACTGTGGCACATGAGCAAAAGATGGCAGGTGATCACAACATCCACAGTCAAAATGTAAACTCACACAACAAGAACACCAGAAGTGCTATTTCCCTAAACTGAAATAGCCAGAGCAGGGGAAGTAGTTATCCACTTTGAAAATATTCGCACACTAATATAATCATGAAATACCACACCATCTTTTAAAATTCATCAAGCTTTAATTTTCATCTGAAAAAAAATCTCACTACATTAATTTCAACACACAAGCTAACATAAACATTCTAAGAATAAAGTTATTAGAAAATTTTTTAAAACCAGCCCCTCACAATTTGCTCTGCAAGGCCCCAACTGTTTTTATATTAAAGCCTGTGTGCAGGTGAATTTAGTGTGAAATACTATTTGGGTTTATGCCTTACCGAATAAGCTCAACAGTTTAAAAACCAAACAAAAACCCACCAAGGTATTTCATAAATCCAAGTATTACTCTGTGGGTTTTCATCTTATCCTACTGTAAGACACTCATCAAAAAAGCTCACCTTCAACAAGTTGTTGCATTTTTGCTCGATACGAATTGTCAGTATAACATTTTTTCCAGTGACACAATTTACTTTCTAGCTACCATGTCCTCCTACCTTACCAAAAGTGACCTAACAGTAACTATTAATACTGAATACTCTTTTGCTATTTCTAATTTACCTAAACTCTATCTGTAAATTACCTGTTACGTACAGGATTGCTCATGAACATTCTTCCAACAGTATTAAGTCTGATCCAGCAACATTAGGGTGAGATTATGAGAAGCTTTCCACATTAAGAGCTTCTCAAAGCCTTTAAAATGAGATTGTAACAAGCACTAGCTGAAGGTTATCGGAAAAAAAAAATAATAAAAAAAAACCCCGTAAGTCATACCATTTTAAATTAAAGACTCAGATCCTCAACTGTGCTACATGGTTGCACAACTATTAATCCAAAAAAATGGACTGCTTTTTAATACCAAACATTAGTTAAAATTAACTGACATTGCCTCACCTTCATTTTAACGTCCAAAAAAATTGACATCGAGGCAGGATAATACATTTGGAGCAGAATGAGCAGGCTAAACTGTAGCTCTCAGCTTGCCCATAGCCATATTAAGTCACAGTTTCCACCTTATTCTAATTCTTAACCTTATTTCACCTAGGTTAAGAATTAAGATACAATGATGGCACATGCTATCAGAAGTCTTGAGACCTTAATTCATGCACTGTCTGGTCAGTATCAGGACAAGGACCAACAAATTGCACTTAAAACAAGTTAACAATCAGTTATCAGTATTGATATAGCCTAGTTTCCCATACTTAGAGATACACCGTTGTATGTGGATTAAGGTTGAGCTCACTTTGTAGCATCTCTCACACTGGGAATACTAATATTGTTCTATCTGCTTGCCTTTTTTCTTCCCTTTCTTTCCTCTTCAGGAATAGTAGAGCTTGGTATCTCAAGGATCTGTAAGTCCTTTGAACAAAAGTCGTTGAACCTGGTGAAGTCTGAGTCACCAGGAAGGGGAAACTGATTATGAGGACGGTGAGGACATGTAAGCAGTAGAAGTACATATACTATACCTTAAGAGACAATCCCACAAGAAACAACCTTCTTGTTTCTCAGCTTTTCTCCCTCAAGCTCCCTCTTCTCCCATGCCCCCACCCCCAAATCAATAAAATTAACTCTAATTTTGAAAGACAACCTCATACTATCAAACTTAATACCCAATACAACAAAGAAGCCTTTGAAGTACCTACACTTACACTGGCTAACTATACCACTATGTTTAATTGCTCAATGTTCTGAGTGATGTACTCAGAGACAATTTTTATTTATTTTGGCTCATCCTACACACAAGCATAATGGCTGCTTAAACTGTCCAAGTTTCATTTACACTAACTGTCCAAAATAAAACACTATCACCACAAGTACAGTCTTAGTTTCCTTACCCTTATTTAAAGGCCTCCTAGGATGTTTTGCAAAGATCCATTCTCAGTTGAATTTAATTTCTGAAGAAAGCTATGAAATGGGGTTTTATCTTCATTTAACTGGGCGTAAACAGAATGTAATAGATTCTGAAAGAACAGTATCATCAGATCAAGATCCACTCTGTCTTCCACTACTTCTGGCCGAATTGCTGTCAGTAACAAATACTTCAGCAAAGCATGCAAGAACAGAATTCCTTCAGTAAACTGTGAAACAAGTTTTTCTGTGCTGAATATTGTATTTTATTATTTTCCACAGTATTGGAACCAGGAAGCATCAATGAAACAGCTGAAGTCTGTTCCTCTTGGCCTTTCATCCACCATGAATTTTCAGAGCTCTATCACATTTTCTCCCCACAACTCTCACACTTTCTTTTTCAACCTGAAAAATACTGTTCTAACACAGCTTTTCTACGAGGAAACCATTTCACTATAAAACCTGCTCTGCTACAATCTCTCATTAACAATCAAGGAAACTCATTACTATTTCTTCTTGTAAATACTGGCAGATGAATATATTCAATCTCTTATGAAAACTATATTCAAACTAACAAAACAAAAACTGTGTTTCCAGATTGAAGGTGGATCATACTTACAGATAAATAAATTCCAGAAAAACATATGACAACAAAAAATATTTCAGCAGCAAAAATAAGAGCAAGATCAAAAGACAACTCCACATCCCACTAATGTCTGTCAAACTACAGTTTAAATCAACATTTCTTGTTTCTTCTTGTACTATATCACTAACAAAATTACCTTGCAAATAACTGATCTGTGCGTGTCTTCCACTGTTCAGTATATTCTTGTCCACTGTATTAAAACTGAACAAGTCCACTCAAACTTCTGATCCTAGGGTTAAGTTAACTATATCTCAGAACAGAAAGTTGCATAAGTTCTTCTCATCAAAGTTGATTATGATAACCCAGAGCAAGTCAGTAGGTGTCATCTTCATCAAGGTTCATCTAATGTGATTTTCTGCCCAATTTTACAAGCTGCAATTTAATCAGCCCATTATACGAAAAGTTCTAATGAGATTTAATAAGATCTGATCTTGCCTAAGAATGACTTGAACAAAATTACAGCGATGTTCAGCTCCATAAGGTTTGTGAATTCCCTCTCAAAAGTATCATGGTATCTTACAAACACTCCACAGTCTGAAAACAACCCCTAAAAAAGTTTGACAGCATTCTCTTTCATAGGTCTGAAGCTTTTTATATACACATTGATACAAAGATCTGCTAAGTAAAAAAAAAAAACAACAAAAAACCTTTGTGCAACTGAAGTTCAGAAAACTACTTTTTCCATCCAAGTAATTCAGTAAGGCAGGCCGTAAGCTGTATCTGCACCTGCATGGTAGTAACCATGTACCTGCACTAAATTAAAGCCGGCAACTTAAGAATAAAGTGTTTTATTATTACCAACTCATCACTCTTCAAGATACTACACGTTAAACAAGACAAGTGCATTGAGCTCAAAACACATTTTTAGAAAAGGGAGATTATTATTTCATTCTATTCAAGGTGGACTAACGTACTATGTTGAATCTAAAGCACTGTATCTCAATTTGCAGACATAACAACTAGAGTCCCAAGGATCTCAGACCCACGTGTAAAATGCAGAATGTTTCCTGGTGTTTCTAGTTAAACAGCATATCCTTTATCATTGCTTACAATGAAGAATTGGTTGCCCCACCGTTTTAGTAGAACATTTAAATAACCCCTGAAAACATGAAGTCTAAATGCAGACTAGCAAACACCAGAGGCTAACAGAACTCACAGTTGAGTAAACTCACCTGCAGTTACAAGTTTAGCACTGCTACCTTTGCACTCTCCGTCTTCCACATTTTTGCTTGTGCTCTTTTCTTTTAAGAGAGGAACAGTATTGTCAAAAGACATGCACTTGCTGGATGCAACGTTTTCTCCACTGTCTGGCTGATTAACTCTGCTGTTAGCTTCAAGTAGAGGAGTGAAGTCCTCAGACTGAGCAGCTTCACCGGGTTCCAGCTGAGAGGAGCTTTTAGCCTGTGACACATTCTTTGAAGACACAGGAAGAGATTCTTCATCACTGTCAAACCCAAATGGATCCTCTGTTACCTCATCTTCAACTTTGGGTTTTTTAGGAACTTCGGAAATATCTGGTTTGACACTGGACCTCTTCTGTCCTAATTTGGCCATGAATGTGGTTTCTCCCCATTTTGTACTAAGGGTGGTCCGTTTGTTGGAAAACACTTCGTCAAACTTGGAACTGCCGTTTCCCCCTTTCCGGCTGTAGGTCTTTCCAAATCGGGATGTCATTTTGGCTCCTGGTTCATATTCTCTGTTGGAAAAGAAAGAAGAAACATAAATTCCCCAACTTTTTAGTACAAGTGATTGTACTTCCATCCTTTATTGGGCTTACAAGCACCAGGCATGTCCACTTCACATAAGCAACAGACACATCATCTGCTTCTTTCTATAGACTAAGGCATTTACATGTGAAAGTTATCATGTCAAAAGCTTCTGCAATAAGTAACATATCTACCAGCCTAGCTGGAAATTCAGTTACTTGCACATTTATAAAACAATGGCACAATGGATCCTTACGAAAAAACTGCTACAAATACATTATTTTTTGTACTGATCTGCTCTAATTTTATATTTTCAAATATAGATGGCACCACTTGTATGAAACATCAGCAGAAAACTAAACAGCGTTTTCACCACATCTGAACACACAGCACTCTGCTAGAGTCCAATAACACAGTATGGCTTTAAGAATCTTTGTAGTTAAATAAAAAAACCTGTCACAATATTTCAAATGCTGTAGACATTTTAAATACTAATTAATCACAAATAAATAACGATGACAACTTCACCCTATGTTCTTCTCGCACACTCAGACTAACTTAGCAAGAGTATTACTTGGCAATACCATGTGGTTTATGCCAAGTGCACAGTCACAGTCAAGACCGGTACACAGCAATCCCCCTCAAACAAATCTGATTGATCAAGGGACAGGAACAAAGAGATGCTTCTCAATCCATTTCTAAGAACACAGAGGACACCTTGTGCAGACCAGCATAAACCATGACCGTTTCCTGGCGGTTACAACTGTAGCCCAAGTCATAGTTTGCTCTCTTAGAATAATAAAGTTTAAATAAGAACAGATTAAATAGGAACATATTTAAACAGTTCCCTGCACATGTCCTATTCTTATTTTTGTTCAACTCAAGAAGGAAGACAGACCACTTTGTTTCTTTTTTCCCCAAAACAAATACTTTACCTACTGGACAAATGACAACATAATACCAAAATGATTGTACCTGTTTTGTAAACCAGCATTTCTCTGGGTTTTTTTTTTTTTTGGCCCAAACATGAATAGGAAATTGGAATTCTTTACAGTCAGTCTGAATCTAATCAAGTTCATCTTTCTCTCCCCATACTGGAGAAGAGTCTATTCAAAAAGGGGGGCATGCATTTAAGCTACAGAATCCAAGAAATCCAACTTTTAAAGTGTCAACTGTTTTCTTATATAGTAAAGTGTATGAAAAATATCACTTAAAATCATCATTAATAAACTTAGCACATCATCTACTTGTTCTAGACAACTGTTTTTACTATTTTTCCCCTGAATGTGTGGTATACTGGCTTTCTTCATATTTTAGTTTTCATCTTGACACTCACAGTTTCTCGACCTTAAGTGCTAGACTAGCTTCTACCAAAATTGCCAGACTGATTCCCAGAAACGTCCTTCTACCACTTTGCCCTAGCAAGACTGTCTCACTAATAATAGTCTCCCTTTATCAGACTAGGCCAACCTTCACTTATCATATAAACTGAGCAATTCACCTATGTTTGAGTAAATTTTAAGTGAATTAAAAGCATCAAATTTGAACTTCAGAAGTTCACCAGACAAGATGGTGTCGCAATACAGAAGAGATACAGGAACAACCACTTTGAGAAACACTCTTCTCCACAGCAGTTTAGTATATGGATGGTAAAGGCACATGCTTATCTACTGGACCAGAACTCTACTGTGAAACATCATTCTGCAGACTGCTTCTGGTTGCTCTTAGATATAACGCCTTAACCCCACCTCCATCCTCTTTTTTCCCCCCCAGTGTCATCAGCCTACTCTGCGCTGCTCCAAACACACTCTTGTCAAACTTTTTTTTTTGCTCCCCTGTAAGTAGCTCTAATTTCCTATTTTCCATCCAAGAGCAAAACTAAAACTTCCTTATATACTTTAGAAACAAAAAAACCCAAACAAATCAAACTTACTAGTTTTATTTTGCTGATGCTTGAAACAACCTATAACAGTAACCAAAACATTTTATACCAGAAAGGCCAGTTTTCAGAGCTATAGAAACTGAAGGGAAATATTAACATCTCAGCTTCTATACAACTATTACGGAAACAACAACAAAAATCACTCACCACCAGCACACTTTCCTCTCCTAAACCCTGACTCAAATAAGTATTTCCAACACTACATTTCCGGCATCTGCAAAAATAATCGCAGATTTAAATTATGACTCACGGCTTGCAGTTTTAAAGAGAAGAATTTTGTGGTGAAGAGAACTTCATTTTCAGAAATTACAGCTCCTCAATCAATGGCTTCTTATTTATAAGGTTAAAAATTAAGATTATCTCACAAGGAGTTTCAAATCAAAATGTCAAAATTCAAATAAATATTCAGTATGACATAAACAGATTAAGATATGAGTATCAGGAAAATAGAAATACGCTGTGCTATAAACTCACATCTCAGACTGATATTAACAGTAAGGAAATACATAGTTGCCTCCTCACATGAGGATGAACAAATAGAATTTTTACTCCTTACTTACAATTCTCTCTTGCTTTTCACTCAGCATGAAATAAAAAACTTGGCCAATTTCACCGTGTTCACTCCCTGCCTCTCGCTCCTGCACTGAGCTGCAATATTTGGAGCAGTGAAAGAAACGTAAACACAAGCAAAACATGAAACACAATTCTCCCACATCTCCCAGAGCTGACTCGGCAGACCAGCTAGACATAAAACCCCCATAGTTCCCCAGAAGGCCCATTCGCCATCCCTACTCATTGCTCCTCTCTACACCGTTCCTCTTACATAATCAAAGGAAAGACAAATAGGTTAAATGCACGGAGGCAGAAGCAGCTGATGAAATCCCACGGTGACAGTTTCTTTTTTCCTCCCTCCCCCTGCGGCGGGGCGGGAGGGGGTGGGGAAGGG